AATGGATGGGCACCACTGTCCTGCAGGGGAAAACGGGGCAGATGGGGCTGGCTGGAGCCAGGCAGTGCCCCCTCTGGGCTTCATGGGCAGGGGAGTGTGCTGCAGGAATGCATGCACGGGCAGAGCGGGTGGTGGCTGCCCGCACCAGCCCACGGGTGGATGCGTGGTCCTGTGCTTAGTGGATGGTGGACAGGTGGATGGGTGGACCAGCAGATGGGCGAGTGGGTAGGTGGAGTGTGTGCAAGTGGATGGGGATAAAATGGGAGGGTCACTGACTGGGTGGTTGGCGACATGGGAGGATGCGCGGATGTGGGGGACAGACACTGATGGGTGATTGGAGAGGTGTGAGTGGCGAGGGGGTGCTGGATGGATTCGTGGCTACACAGGGGATGGAGTATAGACAGGTGAGTGGGGGATGGGTGATGCGTGGAGGGGCTCATAGTTAGGCTCGAAGGTCCATAGCTGGGCGGTGACCACAGGGACAGGAACAGAAGGGGGTCAGTGGGGAGAGAGATGACTGAGAACACCAACGACACGGACACCTGCTGCTGGGGTACCTGCTTCACAGACCCACAGCAGAGGATGGTGTGCCGCAGACGCCCCGGGGACCTGAGGATAGAACCTTCTAGACCGAAGCTGTCAGACCCTCCTGGGATGTTCTGGGAATGTCATTATCCATCCTTGACTCACATAGCCTGTTCCGGAAAAGCATGGCATGTTTTACCATCCACAGGCACTAGCAGGTGAAAACAGAAGTAAACATACGGAACTGATTCTAGTCTGTCAGTTTGAGGTGAAGTAGCTTCCAGAGACCCTGAGGGGAGGATAGTAGCTTCCGGCAACCCTGAGGGGAGGATGTCTTCTTTTGGTCATTGTCCCCGAGCCTGGCTTGAAGGACCCTCTGCCTCTGCCCCACAGGAGCGGCTGGTTCCCCGAGGCCTACGTGAAGGCTCTGGAGGAGGGGCCTGTGAATCCCATGACCCCCGTGACCCCCATGACCTCCATGTCCCCCATGACCCCCATGATGCCTGTGAAGCCCGGGAACGAGCTGCCTTCCAGGTACCTGAGTCATCAGGGGCGGGGCGGGGGTGGGGACTCCGGCGAGGGCGCCACTGCCCAGCGGAGAGGATCTGCTAGGTACAGGCTTGTTTGTTTTGAGACAGTCTCACCCTGTCACCCAGGCTGGAATGCAGTGGCGCCGTCTCGGCTCACCGCAACCTCCACCTCCCCACATTCAAGCGATTCTCCTGCCTGAACCTCCGGAGTAGGGACTACAGGCTCACACTACCACACCTGGCTACCTTTTGTATTTTTAGTAGAGACAGGGTTTCTCCATGTTGGCCAGGCTGGTCTTGAACTCCTGAACTCAGGTGATCCACCCACCTCGGCCTCCCAAAGTGCTGGGATGACAGGCATGAGCCACTGCACCCAGGTGGCAAGGTGCAGTCTTGAGTGGGCCCAGTCCCCTTCAGCCCCTGGAGAACCACCGGCCCTGAGCCCCTCTCTCTGCTCTGAAGGTCACTGCATCCATCCCTCTGCCTCCCCTCAGGACCTCCCTCCAGTCAACAGTCTCCTTGCACGCAGGTGCAGGGAGTAAGCTGTCGGATGCCTCCTTCCTAAGGTGCCCCAGCCACTGGCAGGACAAGGGATTGGACAGGCCCCAACCCCCTTCCTTCCCCTCCTTTCTCTGGACTTAGGTCCTACCCACTCCGGGGCAGCCATAGCCTCAATGACCTCCTGGACCGGCCGGGCAACTCCACAGCACCCTCGGAGTACTGGGACGGCCAGTCCCGCTCCCGTATCCCAAGCCGGGTGCCGAGCCGTGCCCCGAGCCCTGCACCTCCGCCCTTGCCCAGCAGCCGCCGAGGCAGCATGGGCAGCACAGGGACTGCCACTGACGTCAAGGTGAGCCCTCGCTCGCCCTCTCCTGGGGCCTCCAGTGGGCAGGGAGGCAGGAGAGCAGGGATCCCAAGGCTCTGTCACTGGCTGTCTGGTAGGGGACCCGCCCACCTGGCCTCAGTCTGTTCCTCAGTGCGTGGAGGGGTGGTGTGGGGCTGAGTCCGGGCTGAAGGGGAAGACCAGGGTCCTGGAGCAGAATGTGACCTGGGGCTGGCCCGCAGGACGGGGCTGGGGGAGGCCAGGGAGATCATCTACCCATGGAGCCACCCCAGTCTTATTATGGGGGCGTGGTTAGTCCTCGGAGGTGGTGCTCTGGCCCAGGGATTTCTCACTTCTGCAACCCACAGAATTCTGGGCTTCAGAACCTCAGGGTCTCATTTCCCAGGAGCCTTGCATGGCAGGGGCTCTCTGGCCCAGTCCTCTGCCCTATGGGCATGGGGAGAGGGAGGGGAGGGGCAAGGGATTGCTTGCCGCTCTCCCCACCAAACCAGCCCTTCCCCACCCCCACTGCAGAAACTGATGTCCTCAGAGCAGTACCCGCCACAGGAGCTCTTCCCAAGGTGAGTCCTCAAACGGGGCCCGAACAGTGAGGTGGGTGGCAGGTGTGGCAGCACACACTTGTAATCCCAGCTACTAGGGAGACTAGGGGGGAGGATCTCTTGACTCCAACAGTTCAACACCAGCTTGGGCGACACCGTGGGACCCCATCTCTAAAAACAAAACAAAACAAAACAAAAAAATAGATGAAGTGGGGCAAGGAGTGGATGGAGACCAAATAGGGGCAGGAGGCGGGACCTGGCTCAGTTGCCCAGCTGCCTTCCTGAGCTACGGCCAGGTGGGGATCATCTGCCCTTCTCACCCCATCCTCTCCTTCTACAGGGGCACAAATCCTTTTGCTACCGTCAAGCTTCGTCCCACCATCACCAATGACCGCTCAGCACCCCTCATCCGCTGAGGCGGGGTCCGAGGTCATACCCCCCAGCACACCTGCCCAGGGGCTGTTCAGAGCTGGCAGTGGCAGTGACAGCAGCAACAGCGGCGGATACCAGAAGCAGGGCGCTGAGACCAGGGGTGGCTGCCCTTCCCCAGACCACCCCGGCAGCCTGAGCAGCTCCAAAGCACTGGCTTGGGGTCCAAGACCTTCGAAGTAAAGCAGGCGGAATGGGGGGACAGGACGATTTCTCCCCCTCCAGGGGCCCCAGGACTCTCCCTGGGGGGCCTACCTCTTGCCCCCCAACCTCTTTTCCCCTTTTCTGCCCCCGTGGGGAGGAGCCCCTTGTACCTGCTCCGTGTCCCACACATGCCCTCTCTGTACGTCTTTTGTAAATGATGAGAAATAAAGGAAGTGGACGCAAAGTGACGTGGCAGCAGGATTGGTGGTGTCTTATTTGGGGGACAGGGCAGGGGGTGAGGGATGGAGACTCTCTCCCCATTGGAGAATGGGGTCCAGAGGGTACTGAGGTCCTGGCCATTCCCCGGGAGGCTATCTCACTCCCAGCCCCTCGTTTGGAGAACCCTTTAGGGCTACCCCAAAGCCCTGGCACTGCAGCGCCCATCTCCACCCACTCTCATTTTGATGTGTGGGTTTCATAGGAAGTAGTGGCTGCTCAGGTCAGGGGAGGGTTGGCAGTGACCAAGGGCTGGGACCACCAGCAAGCTGCCCTCAGGCGGCCTGGACACAGCACTCTTTGTTCTGGACCCTCCCCACCCCCACATCCCCAGGCACAGGCATGGATTAGCTTCATCCTGGAGAAAGCCGCCAGCCCCTCCTGGAATGTGGCCTGGGGCGGGGGGTCGGGCGGGGGCAGATGAGGCACTGAGGTGATTAGAACCGTTGGGGTCTCTTCAGGGCAGGGCTGTGCTCCGAGCACCAGACTAGGACCCCCTGGGCAGGGTCTCTGTGTCTGCCACCCCAGGCTCCAGGAGGCAGAAGGATCTCTCTTCCTCCCTCCTGGACTGTCGGGACAGGGAGCCCACCGTGGAGCCCCAGCCTGGTCTGGGGCTCCCAGTCTCTTCTCCCCTCCTGGACAAAAGCCTCTTAGCAGGGGTGTGGTGTGGTGGGGGCACACACTCTAAGCTCCAGGCCTGGGGGAGGGAGCGTCAGGCGGGAGTCCGCCAGAAGCTCAGCCCAGGCTGGTGGGAAGCTGGAGTGTCTGGCAGACCCCATCCGGGTGTCACCGGGAGCTGCCGTGGACAGCTGCAGGGACAGCAGCCCCTCCCTGCAGGCCTCAGGAGACGTGAGGCTGGACCTCACAAACCCACGAGGCAGGCTCAGGTGAGTGTGATGTGAGGGCTGCCTGGGATCACTCTCCTGTCTCCACCTTCAAGTGGCTGCCCCTGTGACAAGAGGACAACAGGCAGGAAAAGCCACGACCTGGTCCTAGTGGAGGAGGGGCAGAGTCCCAGATACCCTGGGGGTGGTGGCACTGCCCAGTGCCAGGAGGGACACTCCAGGCAGGAAGGGAGAAGGCTATCCCCAGCCCTGGGCTCCGGGCTCCTGGTGCACCTGTCTCTGAGTACACCCTCCTCGTCTGTTAGGGGAGCACTTGTAGCTGCTGTGAGGGCCCTGGGGGGAGCCCCAGGAATGAGACAGGCTTTGGAGCCATTCTTTGCATACAGAGGGTTTGAGGTTTGGAGGGCAGAAGGCCACTCTCCCAGTGCTGCTAAGGTTCCTACCTGTCTGGCAGAAGCCAGAGACCTGACTCCTCTCCCGCAAGATTCCCAGCTGGCCTGGGGGTGATCAATCACCCATCTCACATCGGAGGAAACTGAGGTTCGGAGAGGGGAGGCGACCGGCCCAAGTCAGGGAGGGAATCCATGGCTGAGCTGGGAAGCATGGGAACTCAGCTCCCCTGGCTGATACCTGTTGAAAGTGGCTTTTGTCCCCTTCATATTCTAATGACAATAGTCATTTGTGATCACTAAGAAATATTAAGAACACGGCGCAAGGCTAAAAAGGAAAATCTTCACGCACACTGGCCCTTTGCAGCTGGCATCTGCCCCTCTGCTGTTTGTTCCGTTGTCCCGAGACCCTCACGCATACTTTGGTACTGGTCGCCCACCTCCAGGCACACACCTGCTCCACTTCCCGATGCCTTCCACCTGAGGTCCTGAGGGGCCAGCAGTGTTCTCCAGAGGGAGCCTGCTGAGGTGCAGAGTCAGGTGGGACCCCTCGTCCTACCCTCATCCTTCAGCGCCCTTTGCAGGAGAAGGAGACTTGGGGTGAGATTCCTACCTCCGTTTCCCCTTTTGGTTCCCAGACCTGAGCCATGCTCACGTGGGTAGCCCTGTGCCTCAGTTTCCCCATGCTTCATCTCCATTCCCCTCCTCTAGGCTTCTGGCCCAGCCACAACCTCTTGTCCCCGCCCCCTCCCAACAGAGGCAGCCATGGGCGCTGGCGGCCCCCGGCGGGGCGAGGGCCCCCCAGACGGCGGCTGGGGCTGGGTGGTGCTGGGTGCCTGCTTCGTGGTCACTGGCTTCGCCTACGGCTTCCCCAAAGCCGTGAGCGTCTTCTTCCGGGCGCTCATGCGCGACTTCGGCGCCGGCTACAGCGACACGGCCTGGGTGTCCTCCATCATGCTGGCCATGCTCTACGGCACGGGTCAGTGTCCCCGCCCGGCTCTCCGCCTCCTCAGGACCCCGGGGACCCGGAACCAGGAGACACCCGACCCCCTGAGCATCCCCCTGACCGTCGGGGCGGCCCCCGAAGTCCCTTCCTGCCTGTGGGAACCCTGGCACCAGAAAGAGGGGAAGAGAGGGCAGGAGGGGGGACAGCGGCCAGAGGCGGGGCCGGCCTAGGGGACTGCCCTGTGAGCTCAGAGGGACCCTTCTGAGATCTACACCTGCTCATTGTAGAGGCGGGAAAGCTGAGATCTACAGAAGCACTCCCCATCCCCGCAGCACTGACCTGTTAGGTGGGGGGCTTGCTGGAGTTCCCATCCTGGGAGGCGGGGCTGCGAAGGAATCCCAGGCTGTGCCAGGGCAGGACTTGGAGGCTGTGAAGGTTAAAGGGGTGTGGAAGTCCCCGCTCTGCTTGGGGTTTGGGTTCTCAGGAGGGGTGGGGATAGGGTGCTCTGGGCCTTGCCCTCGCAGGCTGTCTCTTTGGCCTGTCCCCTCCAAGCTGTGTGACCTTGGCCAGACCCTCCTCTCTGGGTCCCTGAGCCGGAGGTGACCTTATTCCTTAGAGGACTCAAGCCATCCCGGGACCCGGGTGGTGACCCTGCCCTGCCCACAGGCCCCGTGTCCAGCATCCTCGTGACCCGCTTTGGCTGTCGCCCGGTGATGCTGGCGGGTGGGCTGCTGGCTTCCGCGGGCATGATCCTAGCTTCCTTTGCCACGCGTCTCCTGGAGCTCTACCTGACCGCTGGGGTGCTCACAGGTGAGGGCCCCCTGGTCTCCTCCCCTCTGGTTTGGGGGTCGGGGGTTCTTGCTGCAAAATCTGCCCTCGGTTTCCCCATGTGGGACAGTCTTCGAAGTCCTTCGGCTGGGTTCTTGGACCTGCTGGGTTCCCGGGCCTGGCCCCTCCCTCCTGCGGGGGCCCGGGAGGGGCTCCCTGGGGACCCCGGCACAGCACCGCCTCGCCCGCAGGCCTGGGCCTGGCCCTCAACTTCCAGCCGTCGCTCATCATGCTGGGGCTGTACTTCGAGCGGCGGCGGCCTCTGGCCAACGGGCTGGCGGCGGCGGGCAGCCCCGTGTTCCTGTCCGCGCTGTCGCCGCTCGGCCAGCAGCTGCTGGAGCGCTTCGGCTGGCGCGGCGGCTTCCTGCTGCTCGGCGGGCTCCTGCTGCACTGCTGCGCCTGCGGAGCTGTCATGAGGCCGCCGCCCGGGCCGGGCCCGCGACCGCGGAGGGACAGCGCCGGCGACCGCGCGGGGAACGCTCCGGGCGAGGCGGAGGCGGACGGCGCGGGGCCGCAGTTGAGCGAGGCAACCCCCAGGACCCGGCCCCGCCGGCGCCTGCTGGACTTGGCAGTGTGCACCGACCGCGCCTTCGCCGTGTACGCCGTCACCAAGTTCCTGATGGCGCTCGGGCTCTTCGTCCCCGCCATCCTGCTGGTGAACTACGCCAAGGACGCGGGCGTGCCAGACACCGACGCCGCCTTTCTGCTGTCCATCGTGGGCTTCGTGGACATCGTGGCGCGGCCGGCGTGCGGCGCCCTGGCGGGCCTGGCGCGCCTGCGACCGCACGTCCCGTATCTCTTCAGCCTGGCCCTGCTGGCCAATGGGCTCACGGACCTGAGCAGCGCACGCGCGCGCTCCTACGGCGCCCTCGTGGCCTTCTGCATCGCCTTCGGCCTCTCCTACGGCATGGTGGGCGCGCTGCAGTTCGAGGTGCTCATGGCGGCTGTGGGCGCGCCCCGCTTCCCCAGTGCGCTGGGCCTGGTGTTGCTCTTGGAGGCCGTGGCCGTGCTCATCGGACCGCCCTCTGCCGGTGCGCCCCGAGGGAAGAGGGGGTGGCGAGCCTAGTGCCCCTTAGACCGAGGGAAGCTCTCTCCCCCCACCCCCCGCCCCGTCTCAGATGGAACTTCCAGGGATGAGGGGAATGGGCAGCAGGGTGGGTGGACTCCCCTTCATGGCCAGTTAGTCCCTCCTCCAAGCCGGACCACCCGCTCTGGGTGAGGACAGAAAAGCCGAGGAAGGTGCGGGAAATAAAGCAACACTGATAGCTGACCAGGTCTGCCATCCCAAGTAGTTGGCACAAGGCCATCTGAAGCGCAAGTGCTTATTCTCATTTTGCAGATGAGGAAACTGAGGCACAGAGGCTTAGCGCAAGTTGCAGCCCCAGAATGAGAGCTTCAGTGTACCTAATGCTAAATGCCCACGCCTTTAGAATGGTGCATCTAGAATAGTGACTGGAATGGGGACAGTATCTTTGGGAAACTGGTGTTGGGACCAGAAACAGAGTGGGGGTGCTCAGCGGGCAGATGGGGAGAAGGAGAAGCACTGGTGTCTTTGACTGTGCAGATGGCCTGCTGGCACTTGTCACCGTCACCCTTAGGAAGTCATCGTCATGAGGGTGGTCAGGAAAGGCTTCCTGGAAGATCCCCCAGGTGAAGGCACAGCATGGATGGGCAGGGTTTGTTAGGGGGAACAGCATCCTTATGCAAGCAAGGCAGGAACCAAAACTGGAAAGGTGGGAGTGGGGAACATGAGGGTCTTCCCGGGCTGTCAAGTTACCTTGAAACAGCAGGGAGACTGCCTTTGAGTCCCAGAGGCCAGAGGGCTGTGGGATGGTGCAGTAATGGTGGAGGACACTTTGCAGGGGGCACAGGCTGCACTGAGATGGGGTGAGCTGCCCGTCCTTCCTTCAGGGCTGGGCTAACCGAGTGCCCTCACTGAGCTCTGTCATCCCACCTGACCCAGTGAGACGGCCAAAGCCCCTAAGCCAGTGTGTGGGCAGCCCACAGAATCAGCCTGTTCAGGGCTCAAGGAACTGTCTTCCATTTCTTGTGTGAATCTGGGTGGATCTGAGGGGCAGAGGAGGTGTGTGGGGTGAGGAGAATGACCTAGAGAGAGGGTGGAACGCACAGACAAACCACACTTTAGGGGGAAATATTTGCAATTAAGAGATTTTCCTGGTTGGGTGTAGTGCCTCATGCCTGTAATCCCAACACTTTGGGAGGCCGAGGCCAGACATGGCAAAACCCTGTCTCTACCAAAAAAAAAAAAAAAAAAAAATTAGCTGGGGTGTGTTGGCATGCACCTCTGGTTCCAACTACTCAGGAGGCCGAAGTGGGAGAATGGCTTGAGCCCAGGAGGTAGAGGTTGCAGTGAGCCAAGATGGCACCACTACATTCCAGCCTGGGGAATGGTGCAAGGCCCTGTCTCAAAATAAGAAAATTCCTGAGGCCAGGTGCAATGGTTCACACCTGTAATCCCAGCACTTTGAGAGGCCAAGTTGGGAGGATCCCTTGAGCTCAGGAGTTCAAGACCAGCCTGGGCAACAGAGCAAGACCCCATCTCTAAAAATCCATAATAAAAGAGAGAGAGACAGCCAGGCGCGGTTGCTCACGCCTGTAATCCCAGCACTTTGGGAGGCTGAGGCAGGCGGATCACCTGAGGTTGGGAGTTCGAGACTAGCCTGACCAACATGGAGAAACCCTGTCTTTACTAAAAATACAAAATTGGCCGGGCGTGGTGGCACATGCCTGTAATCCCAGCTACTAGGGAGGCTGAGGCAGGAGAATTGCTTGAACCTGGGAGGAGGAAGTTGCAGTGAGCTGAAATCGTGCCATTGCACTCTAGCCTGGGCAACAAGAGTGAAACTCTGTCTCAAAAAAAAAAAAAAAAAGAGAGAGAGAGAGACTTTCCTAAGTTTGAAAGTAATATGTACAAGTGATAGAAGCCTTGAGAAATAGAGAAGGAAACAAGTCACTGGCCCGCAAGCCCCGCCTGTGCTGATGATGGCTGGGTCTGCAGTGCTCATGGGCCTCCTGGGACACAAGGGTGGGAGGACTAAGTCAAGCCCCTGAGGACCGGGGCATTTACATATGGCAACAGCAAGAGGTGGAGGCCCCCAGGAGGGCAGAGCTAAGCCCATGGCCCCTCCCCACTCCCACCCCAGATGCCCCACTGCCAAGCAAGTCACAGGACACTTGTGGGGCTTGAATCAGCGGGAGGAGGGGACGCCTCACCAAAAGCCCCATATCACTTAGTCAATTGAGGTCCAGGGACAGCAAGTGACATTTTTAAGGTTTCAAATGTCAGAACCCACATAGGGTTTTACATTTGTAAAACAGGAATAAAGAGTGGGCATGTGTGTGTCACCTATGAGCCTCACCAAGTCAGTGGCACCACCCTTGACCTGAGAGCGCAGGGAAGTGAGGGGGGGACCCCGCAGGGCCTTACCTCTTCCACCTTCTCCCCGTCCCCAGGCCGCCTGGTGGATGCATTGAAGAACTACGAGATCATCTTCTACCTGGCAGGCTCCGAGGTGGCCCTGGCCGGGGTCTTCATGGCTGTCGCCACCAACTGCTGCCTGCGTTGTGCTAAAGCTGCCCCAGCAGGCTCAGGCGCTGAGGGTGGAGCCAGTGACACTGAGGATGCTGAGGCTGAAGGGGACTCTGAGCCCCTGCCTGTCGTCGCAGAGGAACCTGGCAACCTGGAGGCCCTGGAGGTGCTGAGCGCCCGGGGCGAGCCCACAGAACCAGAAACAGAGGCGAGGCCGAGGCTGGCTGCCGAGTCTGTGTAACTCAGGGTGCACCTGGGTGGGGTGGCCCAGTGACTTGGGAACACAGCTTCTTGTCTCAGAGGGCCTGGTACACTGGGAGGCTGGTCTGGGGTGGTCACTCCCGGGGTCCACGTCTGGGCTCTAGTTGATCCCCTGGGTGTCTGGGAACTGCCTCCCTCATCTGTGCCCCAAGTTCCACCAGGCCGTGCCCCATTGCCAGTGAAGCCGCTATGAAGCAACAGGAAACTGTTGATAAAGCTCAGCTGAACGACAGAAGGTTCTGTTCCTGCGCCTCTGCCCAGGCTCCGGCTGCCACCTGAGTTGGGGGTCGGGGTGGCAGGAGGAAGTCTGGGAGGTCTCTCTCCAGGCCTCTGAAGCCGGCTTCTAGGTGGGCAGTGTTGGGAGGAAGCGTCAGAGATTGATGAAGAGACCCATCGTTCCCAGGTGTAGACACAAGGGGCTGGGTGGGCACAGGGCTGAGGGGCACGGGGCTGGGTGGGCACAGTGCCTGGCTCCTGCCCAGCCCCACTGCTCAGAGCTGTTTGCTGAAGCCCCCCTCACTGGCGTCTGCCTTTTCCAGTGGAGGGGATGAGGGGTTGGCAGCAACTAGGGCTCAAGGTTGGGGGCTGCTTGCAGGCGGGGGGCCCAAGGGGTCTTAGAGGGCTCAAAGTCCCAGGGTCAGGGTCAGTTTGAATCCCAGCCCGGCTGCTTTCTTTGTTCACTGTAGGCTGAGCACACGACTCTGTCCCTGGGGTCCTGGGGGGGCCGGGGGGGGGACCAGGTGCTCAGTAACAACATGGGCCCTGCTGCCTTCCACTAGGTGGCCATGTCCCCTCACCTTCCCAGAGGGCATCTCTCCCCCTAGAGGATAAACTTGGGTGTCCAGGGCCAGGGGCTTTTGCTCTGGACACTGTGCTGGCAGCCAGGTCATCCGCTGATCCCAGCACCTGCCTTCTCCCCACGGAGTGTCCCACATCTCCCTCGCACTTTGACATCTGACCTCCTGCACTTGGATCCAGGTGCACAAATCTGGCAAGACGCGATCTATTCCCTCTACGCATTTATCCTCCTCCCATACATCACACCCCCTCTTTCTTTGCCTCCCTCTGAATCATCAGCGTGGTGAACAGGCCCCTGCAGAGGAAGCCACCTTCCCTCCGCAAACTCGCCTTGCCTTCCAGCCCAGTCCATAGTGACCCCTCCCCACTGGTCCCTCCTGGCCCTCATATTCCATCCAGGCCCCAGGAAGGTCTGGGGAGCCTCACAGATGCCTGGCCAGCTTCTGCTTATACAGCCTATGGCTCGCCCTGTGCCACTAGAGCAGCGACTACGTTTGACTTTATTTATTTTATTTTATTTATTGAAACGGAGTCTCGCTCTGTTGCCCAGGCTGGAGTGCAGTGGCACAAGCTTGGCTCACTGCAAGCTCCGCCTCCCAGGTTCACACCATTCTCCTGCCTCAGCCTCGGGAGTAGCTGGGACTACAGGTGCCTGCCACCATGCCCGGCTTATTTTTTGTAGTTTTGGTGGAGACAGGGTTTCACCGTGTTAGCCAGGATGGTCTTGATCTCCTGACCTCGTGATCTGGCTGCCTTGGCCTCCCAAAGTGCTGGGATTACAGGCGTGAGCCATCGCGCCCAGCCCTTTTGACTTTAACACTTAAGAGTGCTTACTTACTCTGTGCCAAGCCCTGTTCCAAGCCCTTTCTAGATGTTCATTTAATCTCCTAACAAGCCAGTGAGGTAGGTGCCACACTTCAGATAGGGAAACTGAGGCCCAGGGAGATCAGGAACCCAGGCTGTCAGTTCCAGCCTGTGCCCTTGGCCTCCACTCTGGCTGCCCCCTTCAGGGACGTGGTGAGGTCTGTCTGATGGCTCTGCGGGGACCCAGGTGGGCTCCTGGTGACAGCCGGCCCCTCCTCTATGTCCCACCCTTGCCAAGCCTCCCATTTGGGTTTGTGCCCAGCACTGCATGCTCAAAGCTCAAAGCCTTTTTCCATCCTGGACTCAGCCCGCTTCGCACACCCTCTTGCCCCCTCCCATTATCAGGATGGCCATATTCATCATCCAAACTGGAACACGTTAGAGTGACAAGGGCCACTATGACTGATCACACCAGGCCGAGGCTGGCCAGGAGAAGCAGAAGTGGCTACCCTGTTTCTGCCACTCTGCAGACACTCCCCATGGCCTCTCTCCACACCTCTCTTCCCACAGCCCTTTCCCCATCGCCCGGGGGCACAGGTGCACCTGGAGTCAGCACTTGCCCCTTACCACCCTCCCCTACTTGGGGGCTGTCGCCCTGGCTCCATGTCTGCCCGTCTCTTCCCCAAAGGTTTATTTCCTGTTGGAAGCACAGAAAGGTCACAGATTGGGGGCAGGGGGCGGGGAGGGTGAGATAGAAAAGGCTCCACAAAGCAGAAAGCTTTGGAGGCAGGTGGCAAAGTCAGGCCTTCAGGACAGGTCTGAATTAAATCCCACTGTGTCCCCACACATGGTGTGGCCTTGGGCAGGATCTTTCTCTGAGCCTCAAATCACCAGCGGTAAGGGGACCACAGTGCCAGTCCTGCAACGCTTCAGTGAGGCATAAATGACGCACAGCGAGGGCACTATGGTGGAGGAGAGGGGCAGACGAGGAGGGGCTGAAGCCACTGCGACCACTGCGCCATCCAGGTTTGTTTATTCGATACAGGCCCAGAGCCCAGCCCTCCTTCAAAGAAGTGGCCAAGCTGGGGGAAGAGAATAAATAAAGGCCGCCGAGGTGTGATGGGGACTGGACGGGCCGGTCTGGGGCGAGGCAAGGTGCCCAGGAGACACTGGCCCCAACCTCAGCTGTCCATCGCTGGCCCCACTCCCGGCAGGCTCCGGGGGCAGTGCGAGTGCCCACAAGGAGCAGGGCCCGGACTCCTGCCACCTCCAAGTCCTTTCTTTTCCTTCCTGCCCTCCCTCTCCTTCCTAAGGCAGGTCCAGAGACCAAGCTCTCCCTCTGGCCGGGGAGCCGGGAGGGGAGGGAGGGTGGAGGGGCCAGTGTCCAGGTCCCAGGCCATGACCCTGGTGCCTGTCGTGGGCAGGAGCCCAGGTTCACTGTGCGAGGACAGAGGAGCAGGGAGGCAGGCGCCCCAAGCCAGCAGGCCTTTATGCGTCGCCCCCTTGCTTGGCGGCCCCGACCCGCTCCCAGGCTCCGTCCTCCCACGCACCCTGCCCCCGGCGCCATACCCGCGGGGCACTCAGGAGTCACACCAGCTTCCACCCTTGTCCAAGGGCCCAGCAGCCCCTCGTGTATCCCTGGACGGCTCCCCAGCTGCCGTGTCCTCCTCCTCCTCCTCCTCCTCCCCATCTGTGAACTCCTCCTGGTTGAGGCCGTAGGCCAGTGTGGTGTGCGCCAGGTCCACCTCGATGGGGAAAACGTCGGCATCCCGCAGCACCGCGTAGCAGTCGTTGTAGTACTTAGACATGGTGGACACGAGGCGCTGCAGCTGGAACACGATGTCCTGGACTGGAGTGGGAGGTCGGGGGACAGGCAGCAGTGGGCTCTGGCTGCCTGCCTCGGAGGAGACTCGCCCAGCCCACCCGGCCCACCTCTCGTCTCCCCTGGGCTTCCCACTCGGGCACTTCCCTGATCCCTCATGACCCGGCAAGGGGCAGAGGCAGGGGCTGCCCAGCCCGGGGTCTCCCAGCTCCCAGTTCAGGGAACGCAGGAGGCTGCAGGGTAAATGGATCATGGACGGCCGCCCACGGAGCCCACATGCACAGGCCAGCCCCACCCACGCCAGACTCTGGGCAGGTGGCTGGGCTCCTGTAGGGGCTTCACATCTGGGCCGTGGCCTGGCCCTGAGACCTCAGGTGAGTACCTTACCCCTCTGGGCCTCAGTTTTCCCACCTCTGAAATGGAGAGGGGACGGGGAGGAGGGCGGCGCTCACCGTGCTTCTGGTCCAGCAGTTCCATCTTCTCCAGCACGTCCTTGCGCATCTGGGAGAAGCGGGCGCGCGCCTCCTGGCGGCAGCGCAGGATCAGGCGGTACTCGTAGTTGCCGGTGCTCACCCGGTAAAGGGGCTCGCCTAGGGCCTGGGGCGGGGGTGGGACAGGAGGGCCTGCTCAGGGACAGCCTCGCCCCGCACCCCACGGCGCTTTCACCCCACGGTGGTTCCTCATTCCTGAGACCTCACTTCTGAGACATCAGTGTGCCTTAGAAGCACTCAGTGATAGCTTTGAAGAGAGGAAAACACCAAACCCACACCTCTGCCACATTCAATGAACATTGGCCACAAGATGGATCCCGACGGCAAAAACATCAAAAACTTAAAAGTGCCTCGTAGGAGTGAAAAAAATCCGATTTTCCCTCCAAGAGCCCCCCAGACTGAGGAAGTGGTTCCCTGGCCAGGTGCCCAGCACCCCGAGGCCCAGCGGGACTGGGGAGGGTGGCCCCAAATCGCCAGGAACCAGAGTCCAGCCAAGTCCCCCAGGTCTTTCCCGGGTTGGCCTGAGCCACCTGCTATCCCTGGCAGATCAGGTAGGGGAAGGTAGGAGTCCCCTACCCCCTCCAACACTCACAATGCAGCTGTATTCCTCGTCATCCATCTCCTTCACCTTCAGGCAGTACGACTGTGTGGGACAGGTGAGGCTGTCAAAGTGGCTACCCCCACCCCAGGCCCCCAGCTCCACCCCCCCATCACCCACACGCATCGGGAGAGGCTGGCACAGGTGTTCAGGGAGTCCCAGAGAGGCATGAGGCTGGGGGATGACCAGGGCCTGAGGCTTAGGCGGCCCAAAGTTGACCAAACTCAAGGCCCAAGAGATGCTCTGGGAAAAAAGGGGTCTGTCATTAAAGAAGCTTAGGAAGACCCTTGAAAATTCACACTGCACATGGGCCTATCAAAAGCTCTGAAAAGTCCTGCGCAAAGGAAATTTGGCTTGCTTAATGGAGCATTTTCTCTCAATTCCTTTGACTATAGAATAATTAAATATAAAACTCATGAACATTCACTGACACCCACTTTACGCTCACTCACCTAGTCTAACCCATTGTTTAAAGGCAACAAATCCCAAGGGGTCAAAGTGTACAGAGCAAGAGCCATGCCCACCCCAGGCTCTCAGATGCTTCTTTGTGCAGGCGCATCAGGGCTTTGGATGCACCTCCCTGGGCCCCTGGGCCCACGCTTCCAGCAGACATGCTGTCGGCTCTGGCTAGCCTCGCTCGCTGCGGTGTGGCTGACTGAAGTGGGGCAGATCTCCAGAGTGAGCGCTCGCCCTAGCAGCCTGGGCACCTGGACTACTCACCAGGTACTCAAACTTCACGTCCAGGTACTTCTTGATAGTGAGGCGAGTGTCTGGGATGGCTTTGTTGAGGTACGTGTTCAGGTCCGTCAGCATCTGGAAGAAGGTGGGTGGATGCTGAGGCTGTCACGGCAGGGAGTGCCAGGGTGACAAGAATGGCACTGATGCATCACCCCTGCTGGTGGACTCAACCGTCAGAGCCAGACAGTGCTCCCTGATCCCTTGTCTCTCTCAAGGATGAGAAGACTAGTGCCAGGCCCAGGGCAAGCTGTGACTCAGTAGTGAGCCAGGGTCAGAAGCCCACCCAGAGGTCAATGGCAAGGCCCAAGGAGGCGCAGTGACTCACCCACGGTCCACTGTGTGGGCGACCGAGCCAGAGGCTCTACCCAGGCACAGGACTCCAGCATAGGACCTTCTCTGCAAGCCACACGCTCCCCTCCCCACCCCCACATGCCAGACACACGTGTGCTCAACAGGACCTACTGGCTTGATGGTTTTCAGAAGCCGAATGCCAAACTTCTCGATGCTGCGGTGGGCATCGGCGAACTTCACGAAAGCCTCGCTCGCAGCTGGCTGGGGCTCCCGCACCCCGATCACGGAGAACACGTCCCCAAAGGCTGCAGGACAAGTTTGCCTTGAAGGCTGCCCCTGCTTGGCCCCCTAATGGAGAAGCCAGGGGTTTGTTGGGGAGAAGCAGGGCAGGAGGCCTGGCAGGCTGGAGGCCAATGTCTGCACAGGGTCTACACCTCCAAGAGAGCTGGTCTAAACCCCCTGAAGGAGCTGAGTCTACACCTGGAGGAAACTGAACTGACACCTCCAAGAGCTGGTCTATTCCCCCGAAAGTCCCGAGTGTACACAGCAAGGGAGTGGGTCCTCATTCCCCAGAGGGACCAGCGAGAGAAGGCTGGGTCAAGATTTGAGGAGGTGGTGCCACCTGAGGCAGAACACTGGTCCGAGTCTGGACACCTGGATTGGAACACCAGCTCCACCACTGGGGAGCGGTGTGGCCCTTTCCTCAGTCTGGGCTACATTTTCTGCAGATAGCTGGGGTCAGCTGCAGTCGGCCTGCCCAGAGTTACAGGTTTATCAGAAATATAAATAAGCAAGGGCCTTGTGCACTGCCAGTGGCAGTGTGAAGAAGACAGGGTGAGGCCTGTCCATCGTTGCGGCCCTTAAGAGGCCAGCTAATCTAGATGCTCCCCGCAGACCTATCGCAAATCCCAGCACCTGGGACCAGGCCCAGCCCAGGGCTGGCCTGAGGTCAGGTGCTGTGGGTCTGACCCACCTCAGCACGGGAGTGAGAGGCCCCAGGGATTGCCCAGGGTCACGCCACAGGTTTGGGGGATGCCATTACCCCGGTGAGTCTGCGACAGCTCATAAAAGGCCCGTAGGAGGTTCTTGGTGTGTTCCGTCATCCCTGTGGGAGAGACCGAGTGATGGGAATGGTGACGCATGGCAGGGACCACACTGGCCCAGGGCAAGGCCTCCAACTGCCCACCCCACCTAAGGCCTCTGCTAGGCCCTGGTACACAGCCTTTCCCAACCACCCAACCACAGCCCAGGGGTAAAAGCTCAGTCCAACCCACCCCGTGAGGAGCCCCATCAGACAGGGGCACCAGGATTTTGTAAGATGCAGGGCACACAGCCTGCTGTGGGCTTTAGCCCTGGGACAGCATGGGATTCCGGGGGACTCTCACTATGTTTACAGGTGCTATTCTCTGAATTTTTATGAGTGTCAGATTTTTTTTTTTTGAGATGGAGTCTTGCTCTATTGCCCAGACTAGAGTGCAATGGTGTGATCTTGGCTCACTGCAACCACTGCCTCCCTGGTTCAAGCGATTCTTGTGCCTCAGCCTCTCGAATACTGATTACAGGCACGAGCCATCATGCCTGGCTAATTTTTGTATTTTCAGTAGAGATGGGGTTTCACCATATTGGCCAGGCTGGCCTCAAACTCCTGATCTTAAGTGATCCGCCCGCCTCAGCCTCCCAAAGTGCTGGGATTACAGGCGTGAGCCACCGCGCCTGGTCCCTGAGTTATTTTTAAATTCAAAAGAAGTATATATATATTTTTAAGAACTCTTAATGTCCATGGTCCCAGGATTTTGTAGGTTGGTATTCCTAGTGCCAGCACCCCCACTGCCACTCTGCTGACAGCCTGCTCCCTGGGGTAGAGCCAGTGCCGGGACGAGGCCACCCCCGATCCACCTTTGTACAGCTCAGCGGTCCGCTCCAGCTCCTCTAGCCTCTTGACAAGCCCATCTGTGGGGATTAAAAGAAGAGGAGAGGTCAGTGGGCTCAGCAAGCCACAGGAGGCCCAGGGCCAGGCTGGGGAGGGGAGAGGCAGCCCCAGAGGAGAACCAGGATGGGAAAGATCAGGGGTCCCAGGGAGGGGGATTTGGCACCTCAGGTCAGCTGGGTTCAAAGGTGTTTTGTAAATGACTAGGCCCTGCTCAGGGCCAGCGGAGGGTCCCTGCCTAGCAGGCGAAGCCCCTGCACTTGTATCACAAAGCCTGCTGGCAGCCGGGGAGGAAGGCTGGCAGGAGCCATAGGAATGGAGATGGAGCAGCCAGGCCGCCAGCGCAGGCAGGACGTGGTCCCTGCCTCCCAAGCACACAGATGGCTCAGAAGGGAAAATGCAACTTGGGGAGGGAAGGGGAAATTCAGGAAGGTTGAGAGAGCTCACACTGGGAAGAGGCCTTGGTGATCATATTCATTGGTTTAACTGGTGTTTCTTGAGCACCAACTGTGTGCCAGCCACCATGTCAGGCTCACTTTGAGCCAAGTCTTGCTCTCAAGGCTCAAAGCCCAGCAGAGAAGCCAGCCCAGTGGCCGGGTGATGGGCAGCGGTGTGATGGTGAGGGCTGCAGGGGAGAGGTGGGGCAGTTGGGCGCTCTCTGCTCCCCAGTCTCCTGTGTTGACCTGGGTCAGGGTTTTTTTTTTTTTTTTTTTTTTTTTTTGAGGCGGAGTCTTCACTCTGTCGCCCAGGCTGGAGTGCAGTGGCACCATCTCGGCTCACTGCAAGCTCCGCCTCCCGGGTTCGCGCCATTCTCCTGCCTCAGCCTCCTGAGTAGCTGGGACTACAGGCGCCCGCCACCGCGCCCGGCTAATTTTTTGTATTTTAGTAGAGACGGGGTTTCACCGTGTTAGCCAGGATGGTCTCGATCTCCTGACCTCGTGATCCGCCCGCCTCGGCCTCCCAAAGTGCAGGGATTACAGGCGTGAGCCACCGCGCCCGACCAACTGGGTCAGGGTTTTTGAGCAGAAGCAGGGAGGAGCGGAGGCTGTGTTCAGGCCTCTCTGGGCAGGGAGGAAGCTGTGCGACAGGCTGTCAGGGGAGGAAGGGAGCACTTCAGAGGTCTTGGTGAGGCTTTGGCCACCCAGTGGCCTCCAGGCCTGGGCTCCCCAGAGCCTTAGCACCCGGCCAGCCGGCAGGAAAGGAGCCATGTAAGCGTCGTGCTGTTGTTTTTAGCTGGGTCATGGGACATCATGAGAGCTTCAATTTTAGAAACCCTATTTAAGGCCAGGGAAATTGCAAGGTTTGGGGGGAAAAAACACAACAACCAGTTCTAATTTCATCTCAACGGCTGGTAACTACAGTAACAGGGATTTATAGGCACCAGGAGGCTGAAAATAGCAGCCGCCACTTTTGTACACCATTTGGAACAAGCTCAGACCCCACCCCCACTTCCCTAGCCAATAAAGCCCAGTGTGCCCAGCTGAGCCTACAATTTCTGGAGGTATTTATATCTACCCCACACGCACACTGCAGAGCTGCTGCTATTTTTAAACTCGGACTGGCGACGGTAGGAGTGGAACCGAGTGTTTCGTTGGCCACCCCGGGGAGGGGAAGTGTGTGCGCATGTGTGCACGCGTGTGTAAATGTGCATGTACACGCCTCCCCGCTCGCCTGGGCAGCCACCTCGAAGGGAGGACCTGCTAAGGCAAGGGCAGCAGCGCCACCTCCTGGACAAAGGAGGCGTGAGGTGGGCAGCGAGAGTGCTGGGGTGAGGGGTAAGGGGGCTGAGGGCAGGGGCAGAGGCACCTCCCCACACTGAGTCTGTTTCCCCATCCGTGACCTGAGGGACACGGGCTAGGACAGCCCAGCTGACAGCTGTGGACACTCCAGGAGCTGGAGAGGCCTCTGGGGATGCAGAGATGGTGACTTCTCAGCTCCACGGGCAGAGGCCAGGGTCAGGCCCACGGGACCCATAGCAGCTTGGTGGGCAGCCATGGTGCCCCTTCTGTCTTCCTAGCCTGGGCATGAGTCCCCGGGGCCCAAGCTGGGTGGGAAGGGACTCACCATTGCACAGGATGGCCCGGCTCAGGCCCAGAGCATCTGCAGTCCCCGAACTCATGTTCTCCACCAGCCGGTGCTTGACTTTCTTCAACACTGAGCGGGGGACGAAGGACCTGGTGAGTCTGTGGCTGCCCAGAGGCCATCCCTGCCCCCAGCTGTACCTCCATTCACAGGGAGCATCCCACAGGGGGCAGAAGGACTGCTGGGGGTGGCTGTGAAGTGGGGAATGTCCAGCGGGGAGGTCCTAGGTCCCTGTCCTATTCCCTCTGCTTCACAGAGGTGCTGGCAGTCTGGGCAGTTGAACATGGAGGGCTTCGCCCAGGGCCTGCTGCACATCAGCTGGTGGTCCTGAGAGCCCAGTGCCGCCCGGGCTCCGCACCGGCCAATGGAAGCCAAGGAGGCCTCGTCCCTCCTCTGTGTCACATCAGGACCTAGAGTGTCGCATAAAGGGGAAGGGGAGAAGAGGGGCCCCTGGGCTGGTTATGTGAAAGTAATGGGCGCCATCAATGACCATGAAGCTCGGAGCCCAGACTCAATTACTGCATCTCACCAGCTTAGTCCTAGGAAGGGGACTTAGTCCTGTGTTGGAACGAAAGGGTTTCGGAGGAAGCTCCTGGACAGATCCAGGCTGCCCTTAGCCCCTTGGCCTCTGGCCCTAGGGTGTATGAAGAGGGCTGCCGGGCTCCAGAGCTGAGAAACCTGGGGGTGCGCTCACTAGGGGCTGCAGCGCCCTCTCTGGGTCTCAGGCTTTGATCCGTAATGTGAAGCGGCCGGTCCAGAGGACTCGAAGCTGCTGTCCAGCTCTTGAGTCTTAAAGTTTCTACAGAACCAAGGCTCAGCCCCTCTAACAGGAGGGACCTTATCCCAGGGCGCAGACCCTCTGCCCAGTGCCTGAGCTCCAGTTCAGATCCAGAGTCCCTGGGAGCTGAGGGCAGGAGAGGCCAGGGAGGAGTGCGGTTGTGCTAGAGGGCATGAGGTGCCAGGCCAGGGTTGGGCTGCTCTGCCTTTATGAAGAGGGAGGCCCTGGGCCGTGGAAGCCAAGGCGATGGCCTGCAAAGGACAACCCTAGGGTAGCAAGTTCCCAGAGGAGGTGGCCGAAGTGGGGAGGTAGGGGTGAAACACGGGGGAGTGAGAAACCAGGGACAGAGTACAGGAACAGATGCAGGGAGAGCACCGGGGGTCCTCCCAGGCCTTTCAGATTTGCTTGGTCAGAAGTCAGAGCCCACAGCCATGTAACTCTGGATTCTCCTGTCATAAAGGGGAGGGAAAGGCTGGCTGGGGCACTTCTCCGTTGGGCCAGGGCCCATCCAGGGAGGCTGCTGGACACCCGTAACTGCTCTGACCAGCTTACCAATGTCCAGGGACATGCCCTGCTTGGGGTCCGCCTGCAGCTTGTTGTAGTGGATGGTCACCTCCCCCTGGAAGAGCAGCACACACAGACTAGTGAGGGAGGCTCCAGACCCTGAGCCCTTCCCCGCCAAGACTGTTCTGGACTGAGAATCCTGAGCCCAAGGCCGGGCACGGTGGCTCACACCTGTAATCCTAACACTTTGGGAGGCTGAGGCGGGCAGATCACTTGAGGTCAGGAATTTAAGACCAGCCTGAGCAACATGACAAAACCCCATCTCCACTAAAAATACAAAAATTAGCTGGGTATGGTGGCGCGTGCCTGTAGTCCCAGCTACTCAGGAGACTGAGGCACAAGAATCACTTGAACCAGGGAGGCGGAGGTTGCAGTGAGCTGAGATCGCACCATTGCACTCCAGCCTGGATGACAGAATGAGATTCTGTCTCAAAAAAAAAAAAAAAAAGAATCCTAAGCCCCAGTAAGGGGCTAGGCTGAGAGCCGTGACATGGCCCCAGCTTGTGACCCTGTCTGCTCCCAGGCCCCTCCGTTTCTACTCTACATCCAAGCCCTGGGGAATCAGTGGGGATAGGGCCTGCACAGGGCCCACAGCCCGGTCTCTGATGTCTTGTGCTTCGGTCAGGTCAGGCTCTCCTTCTTCCCTCCCCAGGCAAACCACACTCCAAGCCTTTGCCGTGTCCTTTCCCTACACTGATTATTCCCTCCTCCCCCGCAAACCACCCCATCCCCAGGAATCCCTCTACTCATTGAACAGCTACATCTGAGCACTCGCTCTGTGCCTGGTGCTAGGGCACCAAGGGGAAGGGGCAGGGGCAGTCCCAGCCCCCAAGGCTGATGCAAATCAGGGAATGACACAAACCACTTTCTAACGACTGCTCAGGAGACACAGGCTTCTCCCAAGAGGACTTCCCTGAGCGCGGGAGGCTACTGTGTTCACCTCATCCTTGCAAACCAAAAACCCTTGAACTTGGGACCACATTCATCCAAATATAAAACAGGATTTAAAAATCAAGTCCCAAAGGGAAACCAAAATGAGAGATGCGATCAGTCAGAGGTGGGGTGTGAACTGCTCCCCCAGAATAAAACACAGGCGTGCTCAGGGGCCACCCACAGGGAGCAGCTGTAGGCTCACGGCAAGCGGGCTGCAGTGGGAGTCGGACCACAGGCAGGTCACTCCCCGCCTCTGGACACCTGTAAGACGGAAGAGTAATCCCTGCCCAGCACCCAAACAGAGGAGCTGGGCCAATGCCACATCCCTGTCATGGCTGTGTGCAAACACAAAGAGCTCTTGTCCTCACGGGCAACCTGAGGAGCTGGTGTGACCAAGCCTGAGAGGACAGGGAGAGACCTGACGAGCAGAGATGGGGAGGGGGGAAGGGGCTGCCGAACAGGGCACACACAACCCAACTCGGCCAGAACAAGACCCCCTGCACCTGTTCCCGTGATCAGTTCCTCTGCCTAACAGGTTACGCCTGGGGCAGTGATACCCAGACCATGTAGAGTGGCAGCTGGGGCAGTGATACCCAGACCATGTAGAGTGGCAGCTGGGGCAGTGATACCCAGGCCATGTAGAGTGGCAGCTGGGGCAGTGATACCCAGGCCATGTAGAGTGGACGCCTGGGGCAGTGATACCCAGGGCAGCTGGGGCAGTGATACCCAGACCATGTAGAGTGGCAGCTGGGGCAGTGATACCCAGGCCATGTAGAGTGGCAGCTGGGGCAGTGATACCCAGGCCATGTAGAGTGGACGCCTGGGGCAGTGATACCCAGGCCATGTAGAGTGGACGCCTGGGGCAGTGATACCCAGGCAGCTGGGGCAGTGATACCCAGGCCATGTAGAGTGGCAGCTGGGGCAGTGATACCCAGGCCATGTAGAGTGGACGCCTGGGGCAGTGATACCCAGGCCATGTAGAGTGGACGCCTGGGGCAGTGATACCCAGGCCATGTAGAGTGGCAGCTGGGGTCTCAATGAACCTTGCTGCTTCCTTTTTTACAGCAGAGCTCTGAGCCCCAGCCCCAGGCCCCGATTTGTCCTATGGCTAAAGGGGCTAGAATAGGAGAATGTACAGGATGGGAATATTCCTCCCTACAGCAAGGAAGGAGAGAAGCAGGGACCACTCAGGAGCAGGACAGGAGGATAAAGGGGAGAGAGGATGGAGCAGCGGCTGGCCTGGCTTAAGGCAGGAAGGGGGACTATCAGGGGTGCTAGAACCCAGAGGACAGAAGTGGGGCTGAGGGAGGTGGCTGCAACGCTTGGCCAAGCTCAACTCACAGTGGGGACCCCTGCCCCCAAGACTTCTAAATCACCCCGCGTCGGCGCACTGCCTGCACATCAGTTCTTTCACAATATTGGTTTCCTGAGATTCGCTAGCAGCCACATCGCTAGGAAATGGCAAAGGGGCTGCATGCTCGCTTCGGGAGAGGCCAGGATGCTGCCTGCCATTCCAGGAGGGAGTGTCCCTGCAGAGAGGCCTGGGCCTGTAGCAGCAGGGGTGGGGGGAAGCAGGGGCAGACAGTGTGTGACTCTGGTCTATAGAGCAGAAGAGCAGCTGGCCTGGGACGGGGGGGTCTCTGGGTGTCGATGAGCCCAGGAGGCTGCGTGGGACCAAAAGTTCCTACAGGATGGGGAAAGGGTGCTCTTCCTTCTCTCTTAGCCCTCGCAGGCCCAGCATGACCCGGCTGACATTACTGGGTGTCTACTGACCCGGGTAGGATCACCTTGGACTTTTAGCTTCAGCTCCAGCGCTGACTGGACACATGGGCTTGCCTGAGGGATGGTTCCGAGTCTGTCAGCTCCCCGGGGGCTCACAGGGACCTTGTGGTCTTGCCGCCCACTCCCTTGCCAAGGTTCAGCACAAGTCCTGGAGCACAACTACTATTTATTGAATGAATGAGGGATGGACGAGGGAGGCTGGAGTGTGACCCTAACCCTGCATGTGCCAAGGAAGGGGGCGGTGAGGGCTGATACCCCCTTGCAGGTCTGATGGGGCCTCTGGCAGCCTGGAGGTCTCAGAAGCATGTGTGGCTGCCTCTGCTGCTCTGCAGCAGCCCTTACCTTCACCTCCTGAATCATCTTCGCCACCTCCACCTTGGTTTTCCCTTTGATTGACCTGCCATTGACACCGGTGATCTCATCGCCAGCTGCCACTGTGCCGTCCAAGGCTGCTGGGGTGTTGTCAAATACCTGTGGGTGCATAAGGAGAGTGGTAGGGGAAGAAAGGGAGGGCTAAGATGGAACCTGGGAAGACACCTGACCACTGCCTGGCTCTGTCTTCCACTCTACCCTCTGCTCTCGTTTTTTGAGAACGCATCTCACCACCCGGGCTGGAGCGCAGTGGCGTGATCACAGCTCACTGTGGCATTGAGTTCCTGGGCTCCAGCAATCCTCCTGCCTCAGATATACAGTCAAATGAATTTTTTTTTTTTTTTTTTTGAGTCGGAGTTTTGCTCTCATTGCCCAGGCTGGAGTGCAATAGTGTGATCTTGCTCACCACAACCTCTGCCTCCCAGGTTCAAGCAATTCTCCTGCCTCAGCCTCCCGAGTAGCTGGGATTATAGGCATGCACCACCACGCCCGGCTAATTTTGTATTTTTAGTAGAGACAAGGTTTCTCCATGTTGGTCAGGCTGGTCTCGAACTCCCGACCTCAGATGATCCACCTGCCTCGGCCTCCCAAAGTGCTGGGATTACAGGCATGAGCCACCACACCCGGCGTCAAATGATTTTTGACAAGGGTGTCAAGAACATTCAATGGGGAAGGACAGTCATTTCAACAATAGTATGTGAAAAATGAAGTTGACACTACCTAACACCATATACAAAAATTAACTCAAGGCCAGGCACAGTGGCTCACGCCTATAATTCCAACACACTGGAAGGCCAAGGCAGGCAGATCACCTGAGGTCAGGAGTTCGAGACTAACCTGGCCAACATGGTAAAACCCCATCTCAATTAAAAATGCAAAAATTAGCTGGGCATGGTGGTGGGCGCCTATAGTCTCAGCTACTCAGGAGGCTGAGGCAGGAGAATCGCTTGAACCTGGGAGGCAAAGGTTGCAGTGAGCCAAGATCATGTCACTGCACTCCAGCCTAAACAACAGAATGAGACTCTGTCTCAAAATAATAATAATAATAATAATAATAATAATTAACTCAAAATTGATTAAAGACCTAAATGTAAAAGTTAAAACTATAAAACTCAGAAAAACGTCTAGCCCAAAAGCTTCATGACATTCGATTTGACGGTAATTTCTTGGATATGACACCTAAGACCCAAGTAATAAAAGAAAAACTAAATAAATTGAACAAATTTTCAAACTGGTGCATCAAAATACACCATCCAGCCTGGACAATGTGGCAAAGCCCAGTCTCTACAAAAAAATACGAAAATTAGCTGGGCATGGTGGTGTACACCTGTAGTCCCAGCTACTTGGGAGGCTGAGGTGGGAGGATAGCTTGAGCCTGGGAAACAGAGGCTGCAATGAGCTGAGATCCCATCACTGTACTCCAGCCTGGGCAACAGAGTGAGACTCTGTCTCAAAAAAAAAAAAAAAAAAAGAAAGAAAGAAAAGAGAAGAGAGGATTTTTTTTTTTTTTTTTAACATTATCAACAGTGTAAAAGGCAACCCACAGAATGGGAGATTTTTTTTTTTTTTTTTATTTTTGATAAGGGATTAATATCCAGAATATATACAGAATTCCTAAAACTGTTTTCTTTTTTTCCTCTTAGCTGATTATGCTTTGTAGAGAATTCCTAAAATTTTTTTTTTTTTTTTTAACAATCTAATTCAAAACTAGACCAAGGGCTGGGCATGGTGGTTTTTTTTTTTTTTTTTAGCATTTTGGGAAACTGAGGTGGGAAGATCGCCTGGGCAATATGGCAAAACTCTACCTCTACCAAAAAAAAAAATACAAAAATGAGCCAGGAATGGTGGTGTGTGCCTGTAGTCCCAGCTACTCAGGGGGCTGAGGTGGGAGGATGGCTTGAGCCCAGGAGGTTGAGGCTGCAGTGAGCCGTGATCGTGCCACTGCACTCCAGCCTGGGCGACAGAGCAAGATCCTGTTTCAAAAAAAAGAAAAGTTAAGATGGTAAATTTTACCACAATAAAAAAAAATAGAAAAAAACAGAACAGAGAATACAGAAAGCAGGATGTCATCATCAAGATACATGACAAGAAAGACACGGTGTTCCCAATGACATCACCCTCTGAGGATCTGGCACAATAAAAAAAAGACTGTGCTTGCAGCTATCATCACGACTCTTCCCAACACCAGAGACAAAAAGAAGGTCTTTTTTTTTTTTTTTTTTCGGAAATAAAACACATCACAAATAAAGGCTCACAAATAAGATTTTTTTTTTTTTTTTTACAGCAAAAGATAATGTGACAAGGCCATCACGCTTCACACAGGAATTACTGTCAACCTTGACATTCATTCTTGAATCTGATGAGCCAAAATGTCAACTGAATTTTTTTTTTTTTTTTTAATGACCAAATCAGGCAGACCCGAGGTCTCAAAAAATTGACATCCCACGTGCCCTTTCTCAGAAAGCTACAGGAGGATATTCTCCATGGGAGATCAGGGAGTTTTTTTTTTTTTTTTTCCCCAAGATGGGGGAATCCAAAGAGGAGGGGCATGGGGAGGGCACAAGGGGGAGAAACTACAGGGCAGAAAACAGACTGAAGAAGATGGGGCCAGGCACAGTTTTTTTTTTTTTTTTTCCAGCATTTTGGGAGGTGGAGGCAGGAGGATCACTTGAGGTCAGGAGTTCAAGACCAGCCTGGCCAACATGCTGAAACCCTGTCTCTACTAAAAATACAATTAGCCAGGCGGGGTGGCATGTGCCTGTAATCCCAGTTACTTGGGAGGCTGAGGCAGGGGAATCACTTGAACCCAGGGGCTAGAGGTTGCAGTGAGCTAAGATTGAGCCATTGCACTCCTTTTTTTTTTTTTTTTTAGACTTCATTCCAAAAAAAAAAAAGAAGATAGGAAATTGTGGTTTTTTTTTTTTTTTTTCAAGAAGAGTGCAAAATGAAAAAAACAAAACAGGAAATTACCTTTTTTTTTTTTTTTTTGAAGAAAAGGCTGAATTAAGAAAAGAAACACAGATTCCTCAGAAAGTTAAACATAGAGTTGTTTCGACTAGAATGAGAGCTCTGTAAGAGAGGGATCTTTGTTTTTTTTTTTTTTTTTTCCCTAGTGCCTACAACGAGCCTAGGAGGCACTTGGAAAAGATTTCCCGAACAAAATATCTGTTGTACTAATAGTAATTTAGCCAAAAATGGAAAAATAACTTTTTTTTTTTTTTTTTATGAGAGGAAACAGACTGGTCAAGGGAAGAACTAAATTCTCATTTTTTTTTTTTTTTTTAGTCAATAGATATTTACAGGTGACAGATAAAGAAATAACAGGATAGGCAGAGAGTGGTGGCTCATGCCTGTAATCCCAGCACTTTGGGAGGCCAAGGCTGGTGCATCAGTTGAACCCAACAGTTTGAGACAAGCCTGGGCAACATGGCAAAACCCGTCTCTATAAAACAGGTTTAGTGGCACGTGCCTGTAATCCCAGCTACTTGGAGCCTGAGGTGAGTTTTTTTTTTTTTTTTTGGGAGGTCAAGGCTGCAGTGACCCATGACCGCACCACTGCACTTTTTTTTTTTTTTTTTAGTGAGACTATTGAGAAAAATGGAAGCCCATGCATGAAGAAACAGAGCAAGCCGGGTGAGGTGCGCAGGGGAAGGGGAGTGGCTTGCTATTATTTGACACATTTTTTTTTTTTTTTTTGACTTTGTAGAGGCAAGTCACATGGCACTTTGATAAAAACAATTTTTTTTTTTTTTTTTTTGATTATATTATTATTATTATTATCAAGACGGAGTCTCACTTTTTTTTTTTTTTTTTTGTAGAGTGGCATGATCCCGGTTCACTGCAACCACCATCTCCTTTTTTTTTTTTTTTTTTCTGTCTCAGCCTCCCGAGTAGCTGGGATTACAGGCACCCGCCTTTTTTTTTTTTTTTTTTTTGTATTTTAGTAGAGACAGGGTTTCACCATGTTGGCCAAGCTGGTCTTGAACTTCTCACCTCAGGTGATCTGCCCGCCTCAGCCTCCCAAAGCACTGGGATTACAGCGGGGAGGCCTTGCTAATGCCTCCTGGGTCACAGGAGGCCAAATGGCTCATGTTTTTTTTTTTTTTTTTAGCAGAAGCAAGACCAGGTCAATCCTGGGAATCTGTCTTCGAGGCCTACAAACGACTCCTTAGCAAGATCCTCACAGAGGCCAGTTTCCTATCTGCCACCATTTTTTTTTTTTTTTTTAGGGTTAGAACGGGTCTTCCCAAGGCTACAGCAAGGTCACTGACTTGGATGAGGCACACAGTGAAGGAGCCCCCACAGCAGGTCTGTCACCACTCCTGAGTTTTTTTTTTTTTTTTTTCACCAGTGCAGTTTCCTCTACAAGAGACACAAGAGTGTTCTTTTTTTTTTTTTTTTTTTCTGGGAAAATGTACAGCTGCCTGGAAAATAACAGCAGCTACTTTTTTTTTTTTTTTTTTTTTTTTTTTTTTTTTTTTTCGAAACAGCGTCTCACTCTGTCATTTTTTTTTTTTTTTTTGGAATGCAGTGGCGTGATCTCGGCTCACTGCAACCTCTACATTTTTTTTTTTTTTTTTTCTTCTACCTCACCCTCCCGAGTAGCTGGAACTACAGGCGTGCTTTTTTTTTTTTTTTTTATTTTTTGTATTTTAGTAGAGACGGGGTTTCGCCATGTTGGCCAGGCTGGTCTCGAACTCCTGACCTCGTGATCCACCCACCTCGGCCTCCCAAAGTGCTGTTTTTTTTTTTTTTTTTCACTGGGCCTGGCCAATGCACGTTTCTTAAGTGCTAGTGTGTTTTTTTTTTTTTTTTTTTTTTCACAGGAACCCAGAGACGATTATGTCTACATGTTTTAATTTTTTTTTTTTTTTTTGATGAAACTGAGGCCCAAAGAGGTTAAGTAACTTGCTAGTAATTTTTTTTTTTTTTTTTATTTGAACTCGGGCCATTATTTCATCATATTCCTATGACACTTTTTTTTTTTTTTTTTTCAAGGCTGATGGTTTTGTTGATTCAATAGTCAATTTCTGTTGCATGTCCACTATGTGCCAGGCACTGTACCTGGTGCTTACTGTAGTGAAAAAGCAAACCATTTTTTTTTTTTTTTTTCAAAGAGTCTACTCTACTAGACAGAGGGCAAATAACAAGTACTTTTTTTTTTTTTTTTTAAAAACAGAGCGACATAGGGGAGAAGACAGGGCAGACCAATGCAGTGCAGGTGATCAGAAAGCCCCTCTGAGAGGATCAGACCTCAAGAATGAGAAGGAGTTTTTTTTTTTTTTTTTTGAAATGAACCTGCCTTTGTCATGCCCAAGTAGGGATGTACCTTTTTTTTTTTTTTTTTTCGCCCAATACCTGGACGATATAGAGACAGGGACAGTACTGGGTTTTTTTTTTTTTTTTTATCCCGATCAGGTTCTGAGCATCCTTCTGCAGGGTCACCTTTTTTTTTTTTTTTTTTTTTCCGCTAGAAAGAAAAGCAAGCGAGGCTGACTCTCCTGGCGGAAGGATGACTGGAGGGGGTGGGCCCTCCAAAACTCCCGAGGGGCTCCACTGGCTGCCCATTTTTTTTTTTTTTTTTCTTGGACAAAACATTTTGTGCTGGAACATGCACAGCTCTTGGAATTAAGCAGATGTGGGATCAAACCCCAGCTCTGCCATTTATCAGCTACAGAACTTGGTTTTTTTTTTTTTTTTTTCTTGTTCTTGTTGCCCAGGCTGGAGTGCAATGGCACAATCTTTTTTTTTTTTTTTTTTTGCCTCCCGGGGTTGAAGTGATTCTCCTGCCTCAGCCTCCGGATTTTTTTTTTTTTTTTTCGCCTGCCACCATGCCTGGCTAATATTTTTTGTATTTTTAGTTTTTTTTTTTTTTTTTTATGTTGGCCAGGCTGGTCTTTAACTCCTGACCTCAGGTGATCTTTTTTTTTTTTTTTTTCAAAGTGCTGGGATTACAGGCGTTAGCCACCGTGCCCAGCCAGCTATGGGACTTGGGTAAGTCACCCTCTTACCCAAGCATCTCAATTTCCTCATCCATAAAATGGGGATGAGCACCCTTATCAGAGTTCTTCTAACCATGCATGGAGGGCGCTAACAGCTTTTTTTTTTTTTTTTTGCACTCCATAAAAACAGGTCTCCCTTCCCTTTCATTTATTCGATCTCTGAGATTTGAGCCAGGTTCTGTCCTTGTCACCTTATCAGGCATCTATGGAATATTTTTTTTTTTTTTTTTTAGGAGTCTTCCTCTATTAAACCGTCCACCTCCCACCTCTCAATTTTTTTTTTTTTTTTTAGTTTCCACTATAAATTAGCATTGACTGGTGTTTTATGGTAATTTTTTTTTTTTTTTTTCTTATTCATTCAAAAAAATTTGCTAACAACCTACTGATGTCAGGCCCCTTACTAAGTGCTGAGCACAGAGCAAGGCATTGCACCCACTCCTTGATCTGAAATTTTTTTTTTTTTTTTTGGAAGACAAATCTAATTTTTGAAAATCTGTCCTACTAACGATTTTTTTTTTTTTTTTTTGTGTGTCTACAATATTCCTATTCAACCTTCAAAACCTGGTTCTTTTTTTTTTTTTTTTTTGAAGCTTTCCTTGACCACCCCAGCAGAAGCACTGCTCCATCTTTTTTTTTTTTTTTTTCACCAAGTCATGCTAATAGTGCCCTTATGGCACTGAGCTGTGATTATCCTTTTAAGTGTCCACAGCCCCCTACAAATAGTGAGCTCCTGGGAAAGCAGGGTCCGTTGCTGCTTCAGTACAACACCTGATCCACCGCTGAGAAGCGAGGCTTTGTGGGACTTTTTTTTTTTTTTTTTTGAGAAACTTGGGGCTCCTACACTGCTGGAACTTGGGGGAATATTTTTTTTTTTTTTTTTCCTCTTCGATGTCATAATCCAAGTCTGCAAACATGGTTCCGATTTTTTTTTTTTTTTTTTTAACTGCCCAGCTCGGTAGGGGAATGGGGAACTGGATCCGGGAGAGAAAGGAGCATAGGATTTAGGGAACCGAAGTGCATAAATGCCAACGCCACCCCTCTTTTTTTTTTTTTTTTTCGGGACAGCAGGGCCCTCCTCTTCCCCTCTGGAGTGGGATGGGGCAGTCTCCGGGTGGGGGGCTGGGTAGGTGATTCTTACTAGGTACAAAGGGGGACTCCAGGCCAGGGCGATAGGCTCAGATCCCAGAGCCCGCCCCACGGGTCTCCAGGCCCTGAGGAGCTGCCTCTGTCGCTCACCGGAAGCGTTGGTCCCACAACCGGGTCCGGGCCAGGCTGGTACCTGAACCCACCTGCCGTTCCACCTGGCGGTGGCCGCTACTGTCACGTCACTTCCGGTTTTTTTTTTTTTTTTTGCCTTTTGCCACACTGGATGTTTGCTCCAATCCCTGCAGACATTTTTTTTTTTTTTTTTTCTCGGGACGCTCGGAACCAAGAACAAGAACAAGTATTGGCGTTTTTTTTTTTTTTTTTGGAACAAGCGAAAACAGAGGAAAGGTCTGGACAGGCTGACAGCATCTAACCCCGCCCTTTGCCCTGCTGCCGCCGCCATCTTGGGAAGGGCAGGATTGGTCTTTTTTTTTTTTTTTTTACATAGGGGCCCGCGCCTACCCGGCGGTTGCCATGGCAACGAAAGCATCCCTGAGCTGGGGTTACCTCCGGCGAGGCTCAGTGGACTATAAACCGCGAGACTTTTTTTTTTTTTTTTTCACCACCTGGGCCTGTGACTCCCCTACTAGAACGGCCCTTTGAGGTCCCAGCCCATCCCAGTTTCGCCAACTTAAGTGCCAAAGAGCGGGGAGTGATTTTGTTTTTTTTTTTTTTTTTTTGGTGTAAGATCTGGATCGTGGCCCTGAAACTCCCGCCGCCTTTTTTTTTTTTTTTTTAATGTCCAAACACTAAACAAAGAGCCAGGAGAGGTGTATTCAGTGGGTCTTACTATTAAGGACGGACTGGACATGCTCCCTTCCCTTTATGTGCCTCAGTTTTTTTTTTTTTTTTTTTAGGCCATTGAGGTAAATGCTTTCTATGGTATATGGTGAAAGATTTTTTTTTTTTTTTTTTCCTTCCTTAGTCCTGAGGAGCAGCCTAACTGGGGTCCCAGGTTTTTTTTTTTTTTTTTTGTATCTGAGGCTTGGGAAATGCTCTCAGCGCTCCCCAATTGTTTTTTTTTTTTTTTTTCTCCTCGCCAGCCTCTGCTGCCACTGCTACTGTGTAAAGTGGTTTTTTTTTTTTTTTTTGGCTCTCCTAGAGCCACAGCCAGGCATCCACCTCACCCGGCAGCATGGGGCCAGGCCCATCCAGCTTGCTTCCCCAGTTGCCCCAGGAGCCATGGAGGAAATTTTTTTTTTTTTTTTTGTCCACATATCCCACGGCCGATGGAAGCCCCACCCTACTCTCTTTTTTTTTTTTTTTTTGAGTCTGGACAGATGTGCAGAATGCCGTGACAGCAACAGCCTTTTTTTTTTTTTTTTTTCTCCAGTCAGATCACTTTCACAGGATTTTAAAGCTCACCATCACCCTGTGAGAGGAGACCAAGTCTTGCCAGCCACATTGTGCAGGCAAGGAAACTGAGGCTTTTTTTTTTTTTTTTTTCTGGTATCATAGCGGCAGGGCGAGGGCTGGGAAAACCAAGCTTTTTTTTTTTTTTTTTATTTTGGTTTCAAAAAGCAGCAGTCTAAGGCCAGGTGCAGTGTTTTTTTTTTTTTTTTTAAGCTATTCGGGAGCCTGAGGCAGGAGAATTGAAAATGGGAGTTTTTTTTTTTTTTTTTCTGAGATCAGGCCATTGCACTCAGCCTGGGCGACAGAACAAGTTTTTTTTTTTTTTTTTAAAAAAAAAAAAAAGGCAGCGGTCTCCAAACCCAGGTGCCTCTTTTTTTTTTTTTTTTTTTCCAGCCCATGACGATGCTAGCTCAAGCCCAGGCTCTGCCATTTTTTTTTTTTTTTTTCTTGAGTAAGTCACTGTCTCACTCTGAGCCTCGGGTACCTGTAGAATGGGGAAATGACGCCTGCCACCAGGTATTTGTGAAAGTCAAGATTAAAAGGGGAGTTTTTTTTTTTTTTTTTATGCCTGTAATCCCAGCACTTTGGGAGGCCGAGGAGTGTGCATTTTTTTTTTTTTTTTTGGTATAAGATCTGGATCATATATCTGGACCAGCCTGGCCAACATGGTGAAACCCCGTCTGTACTAAAAACACAAAAATTAGCCAGGCGTCGTGGTATGCACTTTTTTTTTTTTTTTTTCAGGAGGCTGAGGCAGGAGAATCCTTGAACCCAGGTGGTGGATTTTTTTTTTTTTTTTTATTGTGCCATTGCAGGCCAGCCTGGGTGACAGAGCCAGACCCTTTTTTTTTTTTTTTTTATTAGAAGGAAAAACAGGTGTGAATGCTTTGTAAACAATTTGCTTGGCACAGCTGTCACTCTGACCTCAAAACCCCCTACCCACTCTGGCCTTTCTTCCCATTTTTTTTTTTTTTTTTCTCTTTGCTGCCTTGTTCAGCCGTTGCCTGCAGGCTCCGCTCTTTTTTTTTTTTTTTTTGCAGGCTTAGCAGACGATCTCAGCTCATATATCTTGCTCCCTTTTTTTTTTTTTTTTTTAATTGCTATTTGAATCATTCATTCAGCAATTTGCTGTGTATTTTTTTTTTTTTTTTTTTTCATGGTTTTCCTGAGCCAATTCTGCAGTGATTAATTTATTATTTTTTTTTTTTTTTTTTGGCAAGGTTTTTATCCCCTTTAAATGTGGGGCTTAGAGCTCACAGTTTGATAAATTATAAAACGCTTCTCCATGTCCCTCTTCTTGTATTCTGTTTCTCTTTTTTTTTTTTTTTTTTTAAAGATGGAGTCTTGCTCTTTCACCCAGGCTGGAGTGTGAAGTGGCACAATCTCAGCTGATTTCAACCTTCGCCTCCTGGGTTCAAGCGATTCTCCTGCCTCAGCCTCCCAAGTAGCTGGGACTACAGGCGCCTGCCACCACGCCGGCTAATTTTTGCATTTTTTTTTTTTTTTTTTTTCTTTCTTTTTCTCCCTCTCTCTTTTTTTTTTTTTTTTTTTTTTTTTTTTTTTTTTTCTCTGGTCGCCCAGGCTGGAGTGCAATGTCATGATCTCAGCTTTTTTTTTTTTTTTTTTCCGGGTTCAAGCGATTCTCCTGCCTCAGCCTCCTGAGTAGCTGGAATTACAGGCACCCACCACTGTGCCCCGGCTAATTTTTTGTATTTTTAGTAGAGATGGGGTTTCACCATGTTGGTCAGGCTGGTCTCGAACTCCTGACCTCAGATGATCCACCCACTTTTTTTTTTTTTTTTTCTAGGATTACAGGTGTGAGCCACTGCACCTGGCCTCTTTCTCTTTTTTTTTTTTTTTTTTTTTTTTTTTTGAGACGGAGTCTCGCTCTGTCTCCCAGGCTGTTTTTTTTTTTTTTTTTCTCGGCTCACTGCAAACTCCGCCTCCCGGGTTCACGCCATTCTTTTTTTTTTTTTTTTTGAGTAGCTGGGACTACAGGCGCCCGCTACCGCACCCAGCTAATTTTTTTTTTTTTTTTTAGAGACGTGGTTTCACCATGGTCTCGATCTCCTGACCTTGTGTTTTTTTTTTTTTTTTTTCCCATAGTGCTGGGATTACAGGCATGAGCCACTGCGCCCGGTTTTTTTTTTTTTTTTTTAATCTCTGGCACCCCCATCTTCCATAGGATACTTGGAATCCTTTTTTTTTTTTTTTTTTGATAGACAATAAAAAGGAAATTGGATTGCTTTGTAATGCCTTTTTTTTTTTTTTTTTTACAATCCACTTAGCTTTTTTAGCAGAGGGGGTCACCGGAATCTTTTTTTTTTTTTTTTTAACATGTCCCAGTCAATTGAGGGGGTCTGGTTGGGACCAGGATTTTTTTTTTTTTTTTTGAACATTCAAGTACCTTATTCTGTCACCCAAGTAAGCACTTCTTGTCTTTCCAGCTGGACAGGAAGCCCCTGGTCGGGGGGCAGGTGCTCTGTTGTGTCCTTTTTTTTTTTTTTTTTTAAGTCCAGCACATACCTGGCTGCAAATCTAGTGCTTGCAGAATTTTTTTTTTTTTTTTTATGAGACGAGA